GTAATAGTTTTAGTGAATGAATACTACCTGGAGTAGTGGCATTTCGTATATCATCAGGATAGAACGATATATCGTGAGTCAAAAACTGTCCCCATGGAACTAATAACTCATTATTGACATGATCGAAGTTACGAACTTCTCTCATATAAAATAATTTCACACCCACTAGCCTAGCACTAGGCAATGGTCTTCCGTCTAATTGAATTCTAAGCGTATTATTACCTGAATAAATTCAAAATAGTAAAAGCTTAAAATATAATATTTATTGCATACTTACACATAGTTAGGTACACAACTACGGTAATTTATACTTAAATGTAGTGCACAGCAAATGCATAAATGTTATAAGCACTATAAATATTGATAGTTATTACGAATAAACAAATTTTTCAAATGCTAATGAGCATTGATATTTTTAATTAGACAGCTTAATATTTATAGTATGCTTTTAGTAAATCAAATGGGTAAATACCAAAAACATTTTTTTTTTTTTATGAATTTCTTATCCTTAATATTATTATCGGTTATTACCATCATCGAATTCAGCGTTCATCAATCTGTAAAATGGTGTTAAAGCCGCTCCCCAGTTAGGGTTCTGCAAATTATTTCACGAACCATTGAATGTCCTGTATTTATCGTCTGGGTTACAAGTAACGACTGGGGCACATTTTTCAAAGTAATCTCCATTTGTTGTTGCTATGCTCGACACCCTAGATGTTGGATGAGATTTGAACCCAAAATTTACAGGATTATGTGATAATGTCGCCGCATTGAATGTAATGGTATTCGCTTCCGACTCCACAAAATTGACAGAGCTTGTTGTATCATTTTTATGATAAAATACGTATAAAATAATAGTTGAAGTAATAGCGATTATTAATATTACTATAAAAAGAGTAAACCATGGTTTCTTCCAAAATGATGGTGGTTTTTTTGCCTTGGATCCTAGTAATGGACTAGAACATAAATATTTCTGTTTTCAATATCTATCACATAATCATTCATAATGTTAAAAATAGTTAGATACTTATAAGTTTTTACAGTTATAACTCTAAGCAATTTTTTCTATCTCATGGCACTATTTATAGAAGTTTGGTAACTTACAATTAATATAGATTGTAAGTGACTTCTATTGAATTCTTACACTATATTTAGCTTAAAAATTATAAAATAATAAAAGCATAACTAATAAAAAAGGAGATGCTCTTAAAAATTTTCATACTAAAATATAAAAATATTTAATACCAATCATTATTGGTATTATTATTATTATTATTATATTGATTTAATTTTAAAACGATAGTATTCGTACACCATATTTGATATAATTTAATATTTAAATATTCGATTATATTCAAATAATTATCATTAATTACAATTTTGACTTTTAAACTGATTTCATCATCAGAATAATACCATCTTAAAGTCTAAGCTCATATTATCTTTTATAAATTTGTTGTTATATAACTATTTTATTGCTATGTAATATATCTATATAATAAAAAAATATATATTTCTTACAATGGTAACGATGCCGAGGGTTATCTTTTAATAATAAAAAAATTTTGACTTTGAAGCCAAGTCTTCGTGTTAAGGTACCTAGGTATAATATTATTAATCGGCATTTATCGAGGCATACATTTGTTTGTGTTATAATAGCATAATCAAGGTGGAACAAAAATAAATAATTAATATAAGACCAGTAAAAATCTATTTAGCACTTGACTTTTCAGAGGTTACTGACTTTTTATTATTTACTAAGAAACTTATATCGAAATATTTGATAGTATTTTATTTATTCAAACAAATTTTAATTTAAAAAAATACGTATTCGTATTATGCAATACATCATTAACCAGAGTGTACATTAGTTTACATATTTGAATCGTATAATATATTAATACATCACTAATCAGAATGTCGAACCCAATTAGTAGCTGGTTTTGAATACCAACGTGCTATAATAATATATAGACTATTATCAACTGATTAAGAACAGAAGAAGGATAGTGAAATAATTTAATAAATAAAAGTGGAACACTGATTTCAATGACTCATCTCTCTAAAACGAGACATTTTGTTGATTAATGCCTTTAAAGAATATCTAGTGGAGGAATATAATGACTATATAAAGCCGATCGGTAAGTGGAAGATGGCTACTTATCATGCCTATAATAGATCTTATAATAATAGACAAGAAGTGATTGCACACCGAGCATGGAAACATAGAGGGCGCTTTTCAGTGACTAAGTGACTCAATGTGTGGTAGTGCAGACGAAGGTTGTACTTTGTCGTCAAAACAGTTTACATCACTGCGAGATGTTTGCACGCCGCTCGAGATGCTGTTGTTTCTTGTTATACACAGTTTTTGTCTATTAGTATAAGGTTTAAGGTTAAGATAATTCCATCCTTTCATTAAAGTATTGAGTTTTGACGTATAATCGTTAATTTATCATACATGACTATTATTGTAATTATTATTATTATTACCGATGTATTTTAAATTTTAAATTTTACTATTTATAATATTTTATTATTATTTGTTGGATTTTATTTATTGGTTTTTGTTTTTTCGCCAACATGTACAGTGTACACCAATACTACGTCTTATGCAATAAAAGCAATTCAACTAGAATAAATATTGAATCTAAATAAATATAGTTTGATTGATTTTATTTTAGGGAAGTACCTAACCAACGTGAAAAAAAATCGATAAATCTGCGACAGATAATCTGCAATCTGCCTATCGGGTTACAGCATTTGTATTTTTGAAAAATATGATTAAATTAATGTGTTATCATAGTTAAAAACTAAAAGGTGAAAAACTTAATACACATAACATGTTTACTTGTGACACTTTAGAGTTAAAAAAAAACAAATGATTAAAACTCATAGGAAATTCGAGGATTTTAACCTACATAATATTAGGTACATAGACTTAACAAGGGACTTAACCATTAAAAAAAAAAATACACTAAAGACGCAAAGGCAATATTTATTTCAACTCAGGTACAAAACAAAATATTATTAGTACCTACACACAAAGCTTTTGGGACACAGATATAAAACATACAGTTGAATTTGTATTATTATTAGGTTTATTTTGAAAATGGAAAATACATTCTATACTGTTATATGTTTAGGTATCAGAATAGATTATAGATTATTATTATAATGAAGCGACCGATGCATTCATTTTAGGATGATGTTATTATTTTATTATTATAATTATCAATTACTATTAAGTAGTGTTCACACTTATTCCGCAAGAAATTAGTGCAAGAAGTGCTCTTAATTATGACATGTATACGTCTTTTAAAAATAAAATGGTTCTTTGAAAAAGTATTTTTTTGGTTTCCATACTAGTTTATATTTGAGCGTACGAAAAACTTTATAATATGTTGTAGATTAATTATAAATAAGAATGTAGACAATACTCACTCAGATTCTAACGGCGAAGAGTTATCAACTTTTTTAAAAATATTAACCATTTTTAAATAAACCGATCGGAATGAATTTCATAATTTGACTGAATTTTATCTGTTGTTATACCTGCGTCAAACATTACAGACATGTAGGTAATATTACATAATTCCTTCCATAGTCCGCTACACGTATCAGATTCACAACTTATGTGATAATACATCTTTATTATTTATAGAAGCTGGTACAATGCAATAAAAACAAATTAAAATAAATCGATGTATTAAATAGTTTCAACGATGAGACTATAATAATAAACAATGCAAATGTATATCGTTAATTTGATACAGATTATATTATTTTATAAATGTATTTATTAAACACGTTTAAAATTTTAACCAACGATGTTTTTTAATGTTCAAAACAAAATTAAATTGTATTTTTTTTTTTTAATTTTACATAAATATAGTAGCATAATATTTTATTGAAAATGTATTTTATTATTAGTGAGGATTATTAATAACTACAAATAACTCTGAAACTACGGAAATTCACTCAGGACATCTACCCACTTTATATCTGAAACTGAAATTCTAATTATTGTTCAGCATTGGTGACTGATGAATCCATACATAACCATCCAAACTGATTCTGATTTTACCAATAATTTAAATTTCATAGATTAATACAGTAAAAAAATGAAGTATTTTAATCTATTGAAATATCACCGTAGATTACCAACTTAAAAATCTCATGTACCTACCCATGTTATTTATTTATGTATAGATTGTTAAAAAAAGGTCGACCCCATCACTCGATTTAATAAAATTATTTACCTACTTTCTTTACATTCTGTACCTGACTTTAGTTATAATATTAAGTTAAATTTTGGAAAAATGTTCCCACTGGTAGTGCTGTTATGCAATAACCACAAATATGGTGTTGAATAACTTACTATATTATTAGTCTCAGTAAACCTAACTGCCTAACTAGTGAAAAAATAACGCAGTTACTATTGAACGCTTGTGACGATCTGGTGATTATATTAGATCAATTACAATGACTACGATTTCAGTGTATTTTTCCTTAGCGCTTTTATTGTCATTTCACTTTGACAATATAGTAAGTTTTGTGCAGAATTTTTTTCTCGTATCTAATTATAAAATAAATGACTATACTATTTGACTATACAGATGACTATACTTGTAGGAAATAAACATTAAATAAAATACTCAAACATATTTTTGCATTTTAAACAGTAAAAATAATGATAATATATAATCATATCATATTCATTTTTAGAATAGTGAAAGGAGGTTCTATGTGGACTATGAAAAAAATGAATTCATCAAAGACGGAAATATATTCCGATATGTTTCGGGATCAATGCATTATTTTCGAGTGCCCAGGCCCTATTGGAGAGATCGTATACGCAAAATGAAATCTGCGGGCCTTAATGCAATATCGTTGTAAGTACCTGACAAATTAAAAGAAAAATGAATAGACATTTAAACATTTTTCATGGTCAATTAAATTTCAAAAATATTACATAAAATATTTTTGGAACAATTAATTTAAACAAATTAATACATTTTTTTATTAAAGCAACAAAAAAATGTTTGCATCACACCAAAATCTCGATTTATGTGTCCAATGAAGAAATTATCACTCTGTATAATTGGCTGCTAATGTTATGTACGAAAATTAATTTTTCTATAGGATGTTGCATTTTATTTTTATCTATAAATAAAAAATAGTTCATGTTACAAATTATTATAAGATACAACCTAAACAACTTTAAAAAAATGCAGGTCATGTTCATGGTTCAATGTGTCTTATTAATACATTTCCGTTAACAGTAATATTCGTTATGGAATTTTCGAATGAGTTTTCTCAGTTTCTGAGTATTCTGTATAATATTATGATTATCGTTTATCGTAATTATGCATGAAGCCAAATGTCTATCCAACTTAATATTAGCTTATAATTACATATAGATTATATATATATATTTAGATTAGCTTATATCGGATTCTGATAGACAATTGGTTTTTATTGGGTAAGTAGGTAATTTAGTGATTCTTGTTTGTTTAAATAATGTTATAAGCCTATATAATATATATAATAGGTACTTATAATAATATACTTAATACTTATATAGGTACTCGTGGTATGGACGTTTGCGAAATTATTTTAATATTACTATTAAAGAGATGAAAACTTGAGCTGACTTACGCATTTTATACTTAGCGAAACGGAAATGTTTGAATTTCACAAACAATTTGTCAACAACAATTTTACCCTGAAAAAAATTATTATATCATTTTAAATTAATATAATATGTGAAACTAGCAGCGGTGCGGCTCTTGTTAATTTTTCCATACTGACTATGTATGATCACTGAAACAATAATTATCAGACTCTCAACTTATAAGTCAAAACCACATACTGTAGAACGGCCAATACTTACCCCAATGTAACATCGTTTCTAGTAATTTTAGTACCTAATAGTGAAATGTTTCAAGGTTCTTAGATTAATATAGTTTGATAATGAAAAAGTACCAACAATTTTATGAAGATTGAAGATTGAAGATAAATTCATAATATAATGTAAAATTTCATAAAAATTTAATCTCCGATTATAAACAAGTAGGTGCCTAATATATGTGGCATAATGATTTTATTTGTTATCACTAATAAAATGTTTGAAGAATCTTTACACATTTTCATGTTTAAAAAATATTTGTGAAATTAATTAAAAACATTTAAAAAAAATTACCTCATCATCGTCGGGTAATATGAAGTATAAAATGCAGTAATCTAACTAATTTATATAATAAAAGAATAATTAACTGTTTGTTATTTAAATGTACAACAAAAGGCAAAATCAGTATATTAGTAGATTATAAACTCAAAATCTAAGATACAAAATACCTTTTTTTCTGTATTAAATGTCCATGCATATGAACTGAGAAGAATCACAAAAGCGTACAGAACTGTGTGCGCGATAAAAAATGCAATATTTTAGAGCTAGTTGATTTTTGATTTCCACTAGAAACATCTAGTTTTCCACAAGAAACCACCCTCAAAGTTAAATTTTGAAGCACTTTTATTGCTCCAAAACATGTGATGACTGAAAAAACACACAACATTTATATTGCAATACATTCATCAACTTTCAGCTCAGATATCAAATTCTATAAACTAAATAAAGATAAAATAGGTTTCTTGTATCAGCAATATCATTTTAGCTTAAAATGTTGATTGAAATTTATGATTTATAAGATTATACCACATTATATTAACTAGATATGAAGGGAAGACAATTTTCGTTCATTCGCATACTGCGTATTTATAAGTCCATATAGTAGTGTAAACCAGGGCCAAAATCAAATATCTACCAATTTTTTCCCGGAGACAGTTAACAACCAAAAATAAAAATAAAAAGGGGGTAAATGTATGTCGCTCTGCTGTACAGTAGGTTACAAGTGGGTCACTGTAATAGATGGTGTTAAATTTGAATTCAATGATATAAAATCATTGTATACAAAAAATCATTCTGATCGAAGACCGTCTGTCAGTCTGTAATATTACTTATAGTAATTTAGTATATTATTTGATGATATTATTGTGATTAAAGTAATTTATTTTACTAGTAAGCATTAGTATATTAGTATTAAATTCGTTTTTGCCAAAAAATACATTTGAAACGTCATTGCGTATTTGCGTGAATGAAATTTAATAATTACTTAAGCGAAGTATATACTTTTAAAGTTTCAAGCACCCGCGAATAATATTTTTAATTTACAACAACATTACATATATTATTATTCTTGGTTATGTAATTTCATCCACATTTACTAAAAAAAAAACTGTGATTATTAATTTTTAGATTTTTTCGGTTACAGAATAACCTACTTGCATGGAACTTTGTTTTAATTTTCAAGTATAAAAGGTTGAAAATGTTGATAAAAAAAAAATCGTGCCTGTGTATTTTTAATTTTTTTCAACCGATATTGTAAATATAGGTATATCAGGAACCTTGTATACAATTTTCAAGCTTTTTGATCAAACAATTAATATTTTATTGACAACTATAGAAAATAAAACTAAAAAAATTTAAAATTAAAAATCTTCATTAACAGCTCAAAACGTCGGGGTGAACAGTCCTAAAATTTCTGTTATTTTAATTTTTCTCCTAAGCTATGATAGCTAGAAAGATGGTTGATAGCTCATTAAAAAGAGATTACTAATTAGATACAATATGTGGAATTAAAAATTTTAAAAAAATTGTGTAATATTTCACAGTTATAAAGAGTTAATTTTGCTGAATTTTCATTTAGCTGAGCAGATTTCCGAAACTGAAGAACGAAATTTTGTTTTTTGGAGTCTTGTTGAATTCACATTGGCTAGGAGAACTTCAGTGTAGATTTTCAGAACTTCATCTTCAATCGTTAATTCACTAGAAAGCTTTAAAGCTTAAAAACATAAAAAAAACGCCTAATTAAATGTGTTTTAAATGTTTAAGCTCCGTAGTGAATTAAGTACTAAAGATAAAGTTCTGAAAATCTTCAATGCACTACTTTTAGTCAATATGAATCTAACAAGACCCCAAACAACAAAATCCGTTTTCTGGTTTCGGAGATCTATCCCACTAAATGAAAATAAAATTCAGTAGCCAAACAAAAACAGATAAGTCATCATTTATCTTTTTTTTTTTTAATAATACTGATCGGTTTAAATCAGTTTTTAAAATTTTCATATTAAGTACATTATTCTTTATTAAGTTTAATAAATATGTGACTTAATAAATGAAACTTGTAAAATGACATTAATACCTCTTAAATTCAAACCAGTTATATTCAACCTACTTTATTCTACTATAATATAATATCTTCTCAATAAATTAATTTGCAATTAATAATTTCCTTTAAGTATAATTTTGGTTTAATCATATTGTAATAAAATATATACATATTACATACAGTTAATAAATTTCTAAAAATTAAAAGTAAAGAAAGATTAAATGCCGATCACTGACTTGTCCAACATTTTTTTTATCTATTATGATCTAAACTTTTTTAAGAACTAACTGCTAAGTAGTGGGAGGGTCCAAATTCTGAAATAATTATTAAAACATTAGATTATTGGTTCAGTTTATACTCAAAGGCACCCATTAAGTGATGCAAGCCCAAAGGGGTGGTCAGAACCGAAAGGAGTCAGAAGTCAGAAATTCTGACTCAGAATTACAGATTTTCTTATTAGATAGTATATCTCGTTTAATAATACCTATATACGCATTAAGACATTATCAATGATTCATAATTGGTATCAGAAAATGTGACAAATAACATAGACCTTATGGCGTTTACTAGTGTGAAGTGTTTGCGTAAAAAACTGTAGGTATTTAAACTCGTTAACATAGGTTATTTAGCGCTTATTTAAACCACTTGAAAACCGTTAAAAACTGGTCAGTGGTCACAACTAATAACTTAGTTATACATTAGTGATAACTGATAGGTAACCGGTAACTACCACCTCCAAAAATAATGATATTGGGTACAGGATTTTGAAAAAATTTACATCTCATTTTGCAAACAGTTTTAAGCCTTGGTGTAACACCTATAGGTACCTATACTGTTAAACACAAAGATATTATTAGGTAAGTGATAATTTATATTTGTCATATAGTCCTGATGGTTTTTATCTAATTATTAACTTTTATAGAAATTCGACATAAATCCATTATATACTATAGGCTATAGCATACGACAAATAGAGTTTTACACAAAAATAATTTTTCTCGGCAAAAGCCTATTATATTAAATTCAACATAAATTATGCACAAAAAATAAATAAATAGTATTAATATAATGTAATTATATTCAAAAATATTTACGTTTTACTTTTTCTAAAAGTATAAATAAAAACAAATAAAAAAAAAAACAGATATTTTTTAACCTTTTACTTGATACATAATATTCATCTGCACCTAGTTGTTTTTCCTTGTTTTCACACAGTGAGCTCAAAGTTCCGATCTTAAAATAACATAATCGCTTAAATCTGTACATATGAGGAAAACTGTAAATATAAAATGTTTATCACAATTTTGACCTCTCAAAGGGAAACAAAACGACATGCATTATGTCTTTCATACAAACGTACATCAAACCAAATTTTTATTTTATTAGCATCGACTTCGTGTTGGTATAACTTTAAAATTTAAAGGTAAGAATAATATCTAAGGCACTTCAAAGGATTCTATTAATTTGGATGTTCATTTTAAAGTGATTATAACCATGTAAAATATTAGAAATTTAAAATGTACATATTATAATTTGCTTAAAATTTAAATATCAATAAAAAAGATGCCATGCTCTAGTTATTATTTTTACTATTGCATTTGGTAATAGTCTAATAGTCTAATATTAAAGCTAAAAACACAAAATTGGTTCACAGATTTACTCTTCTATACATTAGTAAGACAGAGACAACACACTCGGTTCGACGTCCTTTTAGGGATTCACTACTATAGAGTGTAAAGTTAATTAAGGAGTTCAGGTAAAAACTATTTTCTAAATCCATACGAATTAATGTCTATAGATCCATACTGGTTTGGTAAGTGTGTCAGTCTAAATTTTTAGATTTTTAATTTCAATTGAATTTCAAATTTTTCCCAACATTTATAATCTATTACATTTTAAACATTTAAATCAAATAAATAGGAGTTGTGGAACGAAGTTGGAAAAAGTGGCCTGGCTGACCATAACTTTCAAGTAAACATTACAACAAATTCAAATCATTTACAAAAGTATAATCCCATTGTTAGATCTATCGGTATGATAAGTAAAATATTGGAACATTTTGGTTGAAATAACTTGTATTAAGGGGTAATACAATAAGAAAAATAATAATGTTGTTATACTTACTATGTTTTGGAATTATTCACCATGCAGTCAAGTCTATTGTGTACGTTTCACAGTTGGGCTTTAGTTTCATCATTCGTCTAAAATATTATCATATGCATTTGAATATTAGAATCATGTAATTAGAATAATATAATAATAAGTAAGGGACCTATTTACTTACATGTGATCAATGAACCTGAATGTATCAGTCTGAATACGTTCTATATCTGATGTAACACAGATTATATGACTAAGCGTAATTTTCTTCAACGAATTTATTTGATCTAAAATATACGAATTCGAATCAATTACTAGTTACGAATTTACAATTCAAAAAATTATAAGCGTAGAGGATTTACATTTCTTCCTAAATGGCTTTATCATTATTTTCTAAACACACAAATATTTATACTAATTTTACACTAAACATTTAAAATACCTTGAATTAATAAATTCACTTTTCCATGTAACCTACTAATACAAAAATAAAGAAAAATTGTTTTTATTTAAGTACTTTGTAGTAGCTGATAATACATTCAATATCGTTAGAAATAGATGCTAACTTACTGTCTTCGCTCAGAATCGTGCTTTATTCATATGAAACAAATTGTCATTTTAGAAATAAAATGTAATGTATCTATTAAAGCAACATACCTATACTCAACGACAGTGTACCTACAGTCGATACCTACAGCTGAATGAATTCGTCGGTTTTTTATTTTGTTCTTTTTCTTACCTGAAGTGAAGCTTCCAGGTTGATCTTTTACGTCGTAAAAGAAACGGTCGCCATTTCTAAATCTGTAAAAACTATCAGCAATAACACAACTTCCAGTAGGGCCAAACATAGATCCGATTACTTTATTTTCCAATAAAATTCCAACGTAATAATCAATATCGTCAACCGATGAATAGAATTGTTTTAACTGGTCAATTTTCTATAATAATATAACAAATCGAGGTAGGTAGTTTAAGTTTAATATTTCAAAACAAATGTGAATAAATTGAGCTAAGTGACATACTTCTGATGGAATGTAATCCGATAAATCATCAAATGACTTTACTTGTGGTAGTCCGCATAAACTTCTCATTTTAGTATAGGGTGGGAGACCGACATCACGACCGCGTTGTATGTCGTAAGACAGCAGATCAAATCCAGTAGTATTGATTGTTGGAGTTTCAATAAGAATATTTGAAATCTTTAAATAGAAATAGAAATCAAATTAATTATAGACATTTTAATAAATAAATTACTGCAAAATTACAAGGTTATTGTATGATGCTCGAGGTTCGCGTCCGGGAGTTTCTGTTAAGCCCCTAATTAATCCATCAACGTTACCAATCAATGAATTTGGTCTTAATAACGATTTGGAAGGTTCTTCCACTTCATACGTAGTGTAATTTTCGGACATATAGCTGTAAGATATTTATAAATCTTAAAATTAATTTGTTATACAATAGTACTTATTAAAACTTAATACTATGTCCATTTGTACATATTTTAGGTTACTTATAAGAGTGGATTTAAAATCATAAAAAAACTATTCAACTTGGATTCGTAATTGTATGTTTCTCTGATAATAATCATATTTGGCATTGCAATTAATGTCATTAACGTAGAATCTTTTGCAGTTGTATATCAATAGTTAAATTAATTGAATAATTGAAATAAGTTTGAATAATTTTAGTGGGGCTGATGTGGCTCGGTGGTTGGCCTCTGTCACTAACGTGTTTTGAGGCGAAGCATCGGCCGGCGTCGCTAGTTTTTTAGTAACGAATTCCACATACATAGCCCCACGTACGCGTGTTATTCAATCAACCATAACCCCCCACAAATGCTAACGGACATAGCTGCCGATACTTAATAAAAAATAAAAGAGAAATAGTTTGAGTATTTATTATAGTCTAATATTTTAAAGTTGTGTAATATAAATTATAATAAGTAATAATACTGGTATTTTGTAATCTTAGTTTACGATTTTTGAAATAAAAATGTATAATGTAAATACTTCAATTGGGCAGGAATTATATTGTGAAGTAATCGAAAAGCACCGCTGGTCATCTCTTGTGCCATAGAAGCTATTATTGTTGGATCATAATTTGTTTCGTCATTTAAACCATATTCACTGATATATTTTTCACCTAAAAAAAATGTGAATTATACAAAATGATTAATTCTTTAATTTTTAAGTCTTCCTTACCCAAAATTATCGGTAAAAAATGGTCATATGTAATAATTTGAGTTACAGCTGCAACGATTCTACGCGTTTCTTGGTAAATAGTCTCATCCGTCCATGAAGGGTGTTCTACTTGCAACTGGTTGGCAATATAATTATGGAATCTTAGGAATAAATTTTGAAATAATGCTATTCCTAAGTTCTGGTTAACATTTACGTCTCCTAAACATAAAATATAATTAATGTGAATTTAATAAAAATATATACATTTTTCTAAATAATAAAAAAATAATTAAATTAATTCATACGAAACTTAAAAAATGGAAAAGGATATATTATTATTTTAAATTTGATAACAATATGGATCACTGAATTAAAACATTTAATATGAAAGGAGGGAAAAATATACCTCAAGCGACAGAAGAATAGTATTAGTTTTTCCGAAGGAAGTTATAAAATATTATAAATATGAAAAAATGTTTTGATTGTTATGTAATTGACTAATGAAATTATAATGTTTTAAACAAAAACCATGTTAAGGTTTTCAAAATTTATTTAATACACTATAATAATAGTATAATAAGACTTATGTTACCTTAGTAGTTGAAGCCTTAATCCAAAAAAACAAATTGCATTGTAACATTGATTTTGTATTAAAACAAATTCTACACATATTTTGTGTGACAAAAAAAATTGTTCTGAATATGACCCTTATTGATTCATGAATATTTTAGGGGTTTTTTAATTTTAAATAAATAATTTGTCATTAACCTAACCTAACCTAACCTAACCTAACCTAGTGAAGTATTGTAAGGTATATCACTATTTCTGCATAATATATAACACTAAAATGAAAAACAATTAAAAACATAAAATCAACAGAAATAATTTTGATTTAAAAAAAAATATGAAGTCAGAGTTCAGACTCCAGAATATTTTTTTCTATGAGTATTTACAAAATTGTCTATTACCTGCAAGAAACGCTATCGTTACTTCAGTTTTATTTCCTTTTTTTACAACGTCACTTGGATCCTGAGGACAATACTTTTGTTTTTCAATTGTATTGTATTTTAATTGTCCTCCATTGAACAGACGCAATTCATTTGCCAAATCAGTATCTGAACCATACACATTTGACGAGTCGATATAATGCGTGTTTTTATTCAGCTATAGATTATAAATAAAGAAAAAATAAATGTGATAAGTTGAAGATAGTTGTTAGTCTGTTTTTAGAACCTATTTAACAACTGAACATAGTGTACTACTACGAAAAATTGAGTTTAAAAATTTTGCCACAGTAAAATTTGCTCATAACACAAAAAATATTTTACATTCAATTGTGCAATAAATGTGGAAATCACATTACATAATCATACTCATGTTTTTACATTATATTAAAAAATACAAGTTCAGTGTCAAGGACTTAACTTTTACTACAAGAAATAATTATTAAATGAAAATAAATAATATTTGAATTCGTATAGGTATAAATACATTCCAAATAATGTTCTGGTTTCATAATAAAATAAAAAATACTTACAACAGTATCAGGAACTAAGGAACAATTATAAGCTGGAGAAGTTACAAGACGCATGAATTTTAAAATAGTCATGTTTTTTTTTCCGTACGTTGGATCATCCGGAGATAATGGAATGACGGCTTCGCACTCTTTTGGCGGATTTTGGTCTTGACAATGGTCTAGGGCAGCTGTATAATAATATATACACAATGTGATTAAAAAATAGAAAATGATTTTTATTGTTTTATTGAAATTGTAGTAAAAGCTTACCAGGAAAAGTTGAATTGACACTACGAACTGGCGAATAAGCCGTATCGTGGGTAACGAATTGGCCCCATGGAACCAAGAGTTCGTTGTTTTGATGATCACAAATCCTAAGCGTGTCTTGGAACATCGTTAGAGTAAGGTTTCGAGCATTTGGCAACGGACTTCCATCCGATTGTACACGGAAAGTTGAGATCCCTTAGACCATACAACGTATTTTAATTTGAATAATCATAGTGTAGGTATATAGTTAATGTTAAAACAATACTTTCCTACCATAATAACCTTATATATTTTGAATGTAAAATTGATCTTAAATTTTGTTCTGATTTATCGATTATTATCGAGGCAGACATTGAGAATTAAATATTTTTTAAATTACCATCGCCAAACACCGGATCCATGTATCTATAAAAAGGAGTTAGTGCTGCACCCCAATTAGGATTTTGCAAATTATTGCATGATCCATTGACTGTCCTGTATTTTGCTTTAGGGTCACACGTTACTTGTGGTGAGCATATATCGAAATAATCATTGTTGATCGTTGCCACGCTAGTTAATCTCAGAGTGGATATTTTCTAAAATATGAAAAGTAGTTTTAAATTATTTTTAGTAATTCAATATTTAAAAATATATATATTTACCTTTGGTGTATTGAATAACATAAAAACCACATACAAAACAATTAATATGCACAGTAGAAGGGTCATGAAGAGCACCACGTTCCGTAATTTGAACCATTTCAATTTCGATTTTAACTTAGAACCAATAAGAGGGCTGAAAATATTAAGATGTAGCATTAGACAATGAAGTCCACATCATAAACTTTTTTTAATTTATAATAATTTAATTATATTAATTATATTGATTTATATTTTGACCTATAGGTAGTAAACATTTTTTTAATGTTTATCGATGTATTAAATTTATTTTAGACTTAGATAAGTCTAATTATATTGAACCGCTATAGTATTAAAACCGTGACCTTTAGGATTGTACATATGTACTCTAGACAAAATACAATCTTATTAAAAATGTAACAAAATTAATTTATTATAGTTATTATATAACCAGGAGGTATTACTTATAGAAGTTATTATATTTTTTAGTACTTAGTAATATAAGATTTGGTGTCATTTTTTGTATACAAATGTGTGTGGATTACTGATATTATACAGTTATAATAAATGTCTTGATGACTCTTGAGTGTCATCGATATGATTATTAATTTGTCAACATGTACACGACTGTGTTGGAATTGAATAATTCATATTTTTTTTATAAAAAAAGTCTTTCGTAAAATACAGTATTCTAATTTTAAGGTGGCAGGGATTTGTGATTGCATGAAATTGTGTCAAACATGGCGTATTTTGGAATATAGCAATCCTACAGCTGATGTACAGTTAAGTAATGTCCCATTTACATTATAATTAACAACATAGATGTAATTATAAGGTGCTTACTGATGTGCGAGTAGTTGAAGTAGTTACTACAATACAATAAAATTAATAACCGAATAATTTGTCGAATCTTAAGGTCTAAAACGAGTCTATCATAAATTGACTCACAAATGTTAAGCATCTCAATATTTAGGGTAGTTATTAGATGCGTCCCTTGCTTAACATTTTTTCTAAATTGTGGCTTAGATTTTTTTAGTGTACATTAATTTAGGTTGGAATTTGGTCCATGCTTTTTTAGCGTAAATACGAATTTCAGACTTCTGTCTATGTTTTTTTTGACTACATATTACTATACAATAGATGATTGAAAATATAAAGTATACAAATAAATGCAATGTCATATTATGAAACATAATTAGTAAAAAACTCGTTTGATAATTTTTCTTATAAATTTGAATTTGTAATTTGTAACTAATTATTGTCAACTATAATATAATATAATAAACAAGTTTTGAAAATGTAAAATTATGAACAAGACATTAATATTATGACAATATGTTATACCTATAATATTGAGATTGTTGACTGTCGTTATTATTAAGCGATAATATTATATTTATATACGTTGTATGATAGACACATCTCAAAAAGTAAATATTAATCAGGCAACAACTCAAATAAAACACATACTACTAGAATATAACGTTCTAAAACCAGGACAGTTCGGATTAAATCTTTTTTCGTAGTTATCTTTAGGACCCAAATATAGTACTTATACAACTAACGTTACTTTTTACACTCACTTTATACATTTTATTTTCACGAATATTTTATTAATAGGTACTTAATTTTAAATTTTAAATGATTAATGAATGTTACGTATAGTAAAAATTAAAATTCATAATTGGTATTAGGTACCTACTTTCAATGCCAAGTAAATGAGCTCTTTAATGGGCCTCAGATTATTGCACCGATGACAATTGACCCCTCCCCCCTCGAGACCATCTAAATACGCTACTTTTTAAGTATATTCTACTAAGTCTATAAGTCGACCAATCTAAATGATATACCTATTTTTTGGTTTTGAGTTATTGACAATAGACATATTTTTTTAGAATTTTTCAAGTCTGAATTTTTTTACCCTTTCGAAAAACCAACTATACCAAATATCTACCAGAAATTACCCTCAAAGCTTGTGACTGAAGCACGTTTACTAATGCAAAATGTGACGACAAACGTAAGCAAACACTAATTTATGTCATTACAAAACCAATGCATTCATCACTCCGCTCAAAGTATAAAATAACTCATTGGAATACACACTTGCTGGAAAATGTAATAGGTATCAAGTTATAATTTTTATTAATTGTAAATTTGTTATGTAGCAACTGATGTAGATTCTATCATTAGAAATTATAATATCTGGATATTCTAGAGTCTAGAGCAAAGGCCATATAATTAAATTCATTGGTCATTAAAAAAATTAACAAAACTATTTAGTGAGTTACATACTTATAAAATATAATACTTAAATTAATTATGGCACTATAATTATTTCTAATTACAATAGTTCCAACTTCCAACTCATCGTTTGCTACGTCTGATAATTTATCTCCCATGGTTTTTAAAATGATAAACATTGGTTTGTTCGTAATTATATTTTCTTCAAATTTAGTGTACCTTATCATAAATTGTGTGAAAATGTATTTATACATTTGTATACAACAACAAACACGTCTTTATCGTTCGTTGAACATAAAACATATATTATATTCCGAATACAAAGTAAGTAACTGAAATTTCCTTAAAAACTATTATACTAGAGACTACAGTATCTACAAGACAGAGTCAGCTGTACGTACTCATAACTCATAAGTAACCATTTTATAATATAACCATGAACATGACCGATGCAGAGGTGGCTCAAATAGGGGGGGGGCGCACGGTCCCCTCCCAAACCCTTATTACTAAAAAATTGTGCATTATTAAAAACAAAATGACAAAAATAACATTTTATAACATCGAAAGTTTTTTGAAAATTATGCCCTAGACCCCCCCCCCCCACGACCGGGTCACTGGAGGCACCCCTGGACCGAGACAATAGCATATGAGTACCAGCCATATATATTATATGACTTTCAATACATATTAATTAAACGAGAAATATATACTTGTAATTTGTGTATTTTTAGCTTAAGGACGTCTCACATTTTTTGAAAATCAAGTGTGGATTAATTTATAACGTATTTTACGTATTACATATAACAACAGAATAATTAATTTAAGTATTTAAAAAAGTTATGTTGAAAACGGTCAAAAGCGTATTCTCTGAAAAATGTATTTAAAAAAATACATAAACAAACAGAGACAACAGAAGGGACATAAGAATTTTAAAATATACCTATATACAGTTAGTTTAGTCACCAAAAATTCCCACATGTCACATACTATACCTAATTAAAATTATATCTTGTTTCTATCAAAATGATGACAACTTCTCTGTAAGCTCTCCAAAATAATTTTTGTCATTCATCTTCTATTAGTTATTAGTTTTAAGTATCTATAAATAACCTCATTGTACACTAGTTGTCCGCACAATCATTGCACATTTCCTTTTACGATCAAAAATTATATTCTTTTAAATTTTTTGGTGTAAACGTATACATCGTATTATTAATTAAAACTAAATTATTTTATATATTGTAAGTTCTAATAATAATGGTTAATGGTTTTTATATAATATACACTTAAATTTATTAAAAGCGTTTTAATTAACAAAAAATAATATACTCACGAATCTTCATTTATTAACGGTTTATCTCTACTTCTTAAAACGTTTCCCATTTTACATGAGGAGATTACCTACCTACAACGAACTACGTTAGTGAATTGAACAATATTCTGTAGTATCTGTGGATGGCTGCATTTAAACTGAAAGTAATAAAGAGCTGTTTCCCGGTCTCCCCGTACTACATCGAATAACAACTATCGGAATTATTCGATTGTGCTGTTTGAATACCAGAATTATTTTTATTCTTAAGTCAGCTAATGGTAACTTTTATTAATAATAATAATATTGTTTTTCCATTGTATTTTTTAAATAGATTATCATTCGAATACAAAAAAATAATCATATAATTGCATTAAATATATGTAAAATAATGAATGCATTAAAGCATTTAAGCATATACTTATCACTTAAATTATTTTATTTGATGATTATTTTATGTTAGGTCGTATGGTAGTCTTATACTTCACATATTTATTAAACTCGTGTAAAAGAAATTTAAAAAATAGTATTAGTAAATTATCGATAGACAACTATCGATAAGAACATGCAATACAAAATATAGTGGGTCACGTACTCACGTGTAGCATTATAACGCTGGCACGATCGCGGTGCTGTTGCCTGTTACCAGATACTCGTAATCTGATGTATACTCATCGCCAGTTTATACGAGCGTTACGTAAGAAAATAATAATAATTTATTCATAACAAGATTTTAATAAGCCATATTATTATATAACCTCTACCCAAGAGGTTCTTAAATTGTAAACGCGAAATACCATATAGTCTACCATAAGTCTGCCTCAGTAACTTGTTTATAATGTTTGTACACTGTGCTAAAATAGGGTTTTGCCGATAATATGCATGTGATGAAAACTATGACATGCAATGAAAACAGCTCTGGAATCAATATTCATTTTATTATTTTACATTTTCATACGCCCATTTCGGAATTACAGTCAGTATCATGTAGAACGACGGACCGTAAAATAATATGTCGTTGTACGGCCGGATGTTTTTGTATAAATGTACATAATTTTATTATAAAATATAAATAAAGGGAATTTTTCTGGGACCTTGAAATTAACGTCGTTTGACCGTGTCGTTATAGATGTACCGGCTGTGCTTATAAATGGATTGGTGCTGCGACAGGAAAACCGGTTTTCACCTACCTACCCAGTCGCCGTGTGATGATATAACTGCTAAGACGCCACCGCGCAGATGCATACACCCACCGCTTTGTAGTGGTTCTTAACCTTTATGCCTTGGCGACTTATTATGATATTTACCCAATATGTCATTCTATCTTTTTGAAAATAATGCTCAATGTGGTTCAGTGAGGGCTACACACGACCCACCCAACCCACATTAATATTTTCAACTAACCATAACTAAAAGAAACTTATACTCATAATTGATAACATTTTTTTTACTCATGTTAGGTAAGCAGGTACTTGTATCATTCAAAATTATTCGCGACCTATAATCGGCAACCGTCAAATCTTAATTTTTTGTTCCAAAAAACCTATCTTTCGTAATTCATCGGTAGCGATTTAATAAACAATTGTAGTGATATATACATTTTTTTGTTAGAAAGAATTTTAAAAAATGTTTTTTTTTCAGTTAATTTATGTCTAAACCAACAAAAATGATTTCATTAAATGCTTAAATATGTTAAATAATTTAACTTACTAGTTACGTCTGTGATAAGCGTTTAAAGTTTAAATGTCTACAAAATCCGTCAAAATCACGAAATTATGTCAATTATTTTGTAATTAAAATTTATAAAAAATTTTATTTGTGCACTAATAACATGAAAACTGAATGCGAGATTCCGCATAAGTTTATTTTTCCGGAATTAAAAATAAAGTTTAGCATTAAACTACTTGGTACATTTTTTTTTATAAATTATTGAAGTTCAAATACCGATGCCATTACATTTTAATTATTCAAAAGTATAGGAAATAACAAGTTTTGTTAGTTTATTGCATAATTCAAAACATAGTAATCGTAAAAACTTGAAACATTCCACTATTACTAAATTACTAAAGAAACTAAAATATTCAACACATAATGATTTCAAAGTAGTAGGAATTATTTTAGACTACGTATAGAAAATTATGCACACAAAATTATTCACACCGTTCATTGGTAAGTCAGTATGAACTTGTCTGTAAGGAAGGGCGGATTGGGGAGAGATTTTGGCCATAAATTACAAAAGTAGCAGCCCACTTCTAAAGGTGGAGTCATACAGAGAGCGGTTACAGGACGCCGGGCGGGCAGCGATCCGGTTGTAATATTTTACAGAGCCCGCTTTCTGTTTGAATGACGTGCCTAGTATTGAATTTTAGCCAACATGTATCAGTTTAACATAACTACAATTATTTTTTACACATTTGGGAAATTATGCACTATTAAAACTTAATTAGTATTCAATATCGATATCAATAATTTTTTTTTAAATTTTATTTTCTAAAATACTAGTTAAAAATAGTAATTCGAAGAAGGGTCTAGTCCAGAAATCTCTCGAATTCTAGGCATCAAAATCTGCTCTTGCTTATATGTTAATAAGATTTAGTAACGTTACAACAATTACTAAATAATTTACGCATTTTGTGATTCCCATAAATTAGTTAAGCCTACTGTGTTACTAATGGAAAATCGCTATAAAATAATTTATCATATTTTATCCGTGTTCTCTTTTCCTTGGTCTTTTTTTCCGGACTTCATTTCAAATACGCAAATATAACACATTTTTATAAACAAAATAAATGCTTATAAATCAACAATATAGGGAAGTCAGTAAATAACTACTGAATAGTGAATATAGCTAGAACACTATTGAGTGTATTGAGTCATTGGGAATGTCACTGTAATGAATCAATCAATAATGATAAATTATGGTATGGGTAGTAATTTTTAATCCTAGAAAAATAAGACAACAGAACAAAGAACACGGAAAAAATAACAACAATTAAAAAATTTAAAATACATCAATTGATTAGGTATTAAAATTAAAAAAATATTAGGAAGAATGTACACTTGATACACTTGTTTTTTAAAATATTGAAATATAAAAAATATTTCTTTTGAAAAATATTGTTTTTAATTGTATGAATAAAAAAAATAAAACTTTTGACAATGATTATAAATTATAATAACATGATATTATCATGAATTCATTTTTTTAAAACTTTTTTTTATATTTAAATATCAAATGATTTATAACTATGGACCGGATTTATATGAATTTGCATGTCTTTTTCTAAACAGTCCGAAAAATAGCTAGGTAAGCTACAAGTTTGAGTTGTTGTCAATAGATTTGCAATAGAAACTTTAATTTTGCATATTTTTGCATATTTTGTAATTGTTTGACATGTTCAGCATATTTCTGTATTTTACGGTTTTTAAATGCATAATATGTAATATTTTGCTTATTTTAGTTATAATTATTGTCCATGTAGTTTGACAAAGTCGTTTTATTACCTTATCTGAGACCTATCGGGACAAGTATTAGTAATCTGTTATTGAGGAGGTTTTCGTAAACATACATTAGTCGTGTTTGTCGTGATTCAAGTATGTGTAATTTATTTTCATTTGATTTAATTTATATATATTTAAATATTTAATTTTCAGATTGAAGTTACGATATTTTGAAATAACTACAAATTGTGAATCGTATATATAAAATAAATAAATAAATAAAAAATATAATATAATTTTATGAACCTAAAGATACGAGTATACAAAATAATGAACATAAGATATTTTTTAATCGATTTTTTTGCCTATTTTTTATTTTATAGCGTGTATTCCTACAAAATAAGGGCATAAATGCATATTTTATAGTGCATTTTTCTGATGTTTCTATAATATAGAAACCGGTCCCTATTTATATCATATTTTATTATGAAAACGAATCATATTGTGAATAAACTGTTGACAATTTGACTTATTAGTTTTTTAACAGGTATATATACAAAATAATTATGAAGAAATATTTTTTTTTGTAAACATTAATTGATATATTTAAAAATTACTGTTCTTTTTTCAGTTTTTTTTTGTCTTGGTATTTTTTACCGATTACTATATGGAATAGTTGAAACTGAAAGGTTAATATTTAGTTTTATAACATTTTATTTGCAAATACAGTAGAACATCTTTAATCTAAACTAAGTAGGGCTCTAGTTTGTCCGAATTAATGAAAGTCCGGACGAAACAAATTACTTGTTAAATAAACCGAGGTACATATTTAACGTGGGAAAGTGGAAACCGCTCTGCTGTACATTTAGGTGTCGGATTGTACTAGAAACAACATTGGGAAAAATATTTTTTTCAAATATATTCCACTTCCAAAACCTCTGCGAGCCGAGTATCTAAAAACTTCAATGCTTTTTCATTCAGGTCTACGGTTTTAAAATACTTTGAATCGGAAAAAAATTAAATGTTGTCACAAAATCCTATGTCACTTGTTTTAATCAGATGAGCGATTAATGCATTATAAAGAATAAATGTTTCGTTAGATATAAATTTGTGAAATGTAATCTTTATTTTTAGTTATGTAGAATGGAGCTTACATGAACCATATTCCGGTGTATACGATTTTGAAGGACAAGCTGACATAGAACACTTTTTGACAATTTCAAAACAAGAAAATATGAGTGTACTTATTAGACCAGGGCCGTTTATCTCAGCTGAAAGGGACTTGGTAAGTATTAACTATAGCATGAAAAAATATTGTTAAATTCCAAAGTTATAAATTCAGGACTCGTAACATCGCATATTTCGAAGTACCTAACCGTGATATTTAAATATGTTCTTGTTTTAGCACTATTTTATGCTAATGCAGTCTTTTAAAAAAATGAAAATAGATCATCGTTTTATACTATTTATATAGAAATTTATCACATAATAATCATGAGATTGATAAGTTTTCATTGAGTCTCGGTGATTCCATCGATAAGAGGACCTTTACGTGTATCACGATTTAAGATAGACAGGTTGCGCAATGATTTTGAGCCGCAAATATAATACAATGTATAATACTATAATCTTAAAATTGTCAGTTAAATTTAAAATGTAAAAAGTACTAATAAATGATTAATGATATGAAATTGTATACTTTTTGGCCGATGTAGCGTACTAGTGTTAACTGTACTT